TACCGCGCAGATGCCGGGGGTCACGATCTTCCAGCACCACGTGATGAGTGACAAGGGCCGGTAGCCAATCATGTCTTCAATGTTGTCGTAGAACCGGCTGCTTCCTGTCCAGAGGAAAGCAGACGGGCACACACACCCGAGAACTTTTGGACACGCCTCAGAGGAAAGGCCGGAAGTGTCTGCCTTCCCCAGCCTGGGACGGAACAACTGCGGCAGGGACCTCATGCATCCCTTCAGAAACCACCAGAACGTCGCGCGCGCGAGGCCTCAGAATACGCTGCAGTAGGCGGGCTTCTAGCTTGCTAACGGGGGGAACACTCCTGCCGAGGCAGCTAGGCCTGGAAACGACAGGGGATCCCGGGAGGAAGGCGGAAGGGCTCCCTTGGGCGAGGCACGGCAGGCGCTGGCTCACGGGGCGGGGGTCAGGGCTTCCCAGGCAGCGGCTGGCGGGGCTGCTGGGGAGCTGGGGGCCGTGAGGTGTCCATTCCCAAGCCACACTCGTGCAGGGGCGCCCATCATTGGGCCTAGCAACCCTTGCGCGCTCTTCGGTCTGCGGAACGGGGCGACCAGAATGCAGGTGTCTACCGAAGGCCAGGCTTCTTGGAGACAGGGGGGAACGACTCCGTCACACAGAGGGGAAAACCGAGCCTCGGGTCAGAAGGACTGGCCCAAGCCTGAGCCTGGAGCCTCTCCCTGTGCCGGAGGGGTGTAACAGCAGGAGGTCGCCCCACGATGGGAAGGGGCCAAGGAGTCCCCACGGAGGAGGAGGAAGAGGCCAGCGCCAACCAAGACAAGCCGCAGAAAACTGGAGCCCACCCGGATCAGGGCGCTGGTGTCCCAGGCTCCGGGTGGGCCGCTGGGGTGTGGACGGGCTGGGTCCCCACTCACCATACACCCAGCCGATGCAAACGCACTCGAAGATAGCCACGAAGAGAAGGCACATCCCGCTGGCCGCATAGGAGTCAAACAGCTGGAAGATGTACATGCCGCCCTGCAGGTCAGGGACAGATACACAGACAGGCAGATGGACGGATGGATGCCTGGGAGGGCAGGGCCAGCCGGCTGGCTTCAGGAAGAGCCCTCTGTCCTGCTCTGTGGCCCCCGTCGGCCAGGAGTCTGCAGCTCCCTCGTCTCCCTCGTCTGAACATTGTACCCTACCCCCCGCCCCCACCACCTGGGCACCTGCTATGACCCTGACCTCTGGAGGCTGCTGGGACCATGGATGGTTTCTCGTTTCAACCCCTTACTTCCCAGGGGCCAAGAAGACACAGAAAACCAGAGACTTGAGGTTGGGAGGCTCTGCACTTCTCCCTGGATGGCTATATCAGCCTCCAGACTGGCCTCTCTGCCTCCAGCCTCACCCTCTCCAGTCCTTCCAAATGCCAGCTTTCAGAGAAGACTTTCTCTGAATCTGCAAATCCAACCATGCAAAGTGTAGTTTAAAACAACCCCTTGGCTCCCTTGAGCCTGCAGTCAGGACCACTGCCCTCTTCCCTGGTTTCATCTCCCCTTCCCACAGCCCCTCCTGGACAAACCAACGGACAGTCTCGTCTCTGTGCTTTTGCACAAGCTGATGTTTCCTTTTACTTGGTCAGTTTCTTGAAAGCTCAGATCAAATATCACCTCCTCCAGGAAGTCCTCCCTGACAGCCTCATTCTTTTTTTTTTTGAGTTGGAGTCCCACTCTGTCGCCCAGACTGGAGTGCAGTGGCTGCTCCCGGCCACTGCAGCCTCGACCTGCTGGGATCCGGCAATCCTTCCGCCTCAGCCTTCCAAGTAGCCGGAATTACAGGCATGCACTACCATGCCCAGCTGATTTTTTAATTTATTGTAGAGATGAGGTCTCGCTGCCCAGGCGGGTCTTGAACCCGTGGGCTCAGGCCATCCACTCACCTCAGCCTCCCAAAGGCGCAGGATTACAGGCTGAGCCACCGAGCCCGGCTAGCCTCATTCTTTCTTTGGGCTTCCATAGCCTGTTTTATGGACTCACAGTTAAAAAAAAAAAAGTGACCTGTCAGTTGGTCTGTCTGCTCTGAGCTGCTACTAGGAAGGCCCTCCACACAGGTCTTCTGTGTGTCTCCAGCCCTCTGCACAGGGTCTGGTGCACAGGAGACATTTGTGGCATCTTTCTTCCCCAGAGCTGCGTGCACAGCAGTGCTTGCTAAACATAAGTTGAATTGCGTGGACTTTGAGCTCCGTGGGGAGGGACTCTGACAGCCTTGCCCAGAGCTAAGTCCCAGTTCTGGCCCAGGGCTTGCCAGGCACACAGGAGGTGCAGGCCCATCCTGCTGGGATGAAGGAATGACCGTGGCCAGCTGGGTAGGACACACATCCATGAGGACTGAATCCAGTGATGAATTGGGAGGTGTGACTCAGCTGGCCAAGGTTCTCTGAGAGGGAGGGGTGGGAAGGCCACGTGCAGGGAGAGCAGGGATCTGTAAAGAAAATCCCACAACACAATGTGGGTCTTCAGGGCCCCAATCAATGCAGGGGAAATGGAAGTGTAAGGAGGGAGGAGGATGGGTGGGGCTGAATGCCAGGACCATGGATTCAAAGGCCCGGATGGTCTCTGTGTGTCCGCCAGAGGGACATCCTTGGGTTAAGCATCCTCTCTGTGCTCCCGCAGTGCCCTGGGCCCATTTGTTTCCTCTCTCATCTCTTCAACTACATCCCAGGCAAAAGCTCAATGCCCACAAGGCCAGACAAATAACACAAATGAGCAAATGAGGCTGGGTGTGACCCTAGGGAGTGGTGGGGACTGCGGCTAACTGGAGAGCACAGGCCCCATCTGGCCACACAACTCTGGTCAGTGGTTGTTAGCCACAGCTACATGGCCAGATCTGCAGATTTTCTGGAAGACAGCAGAAATCCAGGTTTTCACAGAACATATTTCTGCTTTAATTGTTGGCAAACACAGTGAGGGCAAAACAATGGGGCCTCCCACTTGTGGTAGCTACATGGATATTCAGGTCTGTGAGCCTCAGGAGCAGGTCTGAGGCAGTTCTGTGACGGGCATGGGGCTTGGCTTTCTGAGTTAAAACCTAAGACGCTCCCCCACCACTGCTTTCCTTCCATGAACAAGATACACTGAAAAAGAAAAAGAAACCCTGATGCAACCTCCATCAAGTATAAGGAAGCTATGTTTTAGCTGCTTCCTGTGTCTTAATCCAGTAGACCCCTCATAGTGCAATAGGCCAGGCACTCGTGTAATCTTTATTTCCAATGTTCATGTGGGGAAACTGAGGCACAGACCAGAGACACCTGCTGCAGGTCACCCAGCCAGCAAGTTCAGTGAGTTCAGCTGAGGACTGAACCCAGGAGATGCAGCCACAGAGCCCATACTCCTAGTCCCCTGCCATACTGCCTCGGAGGAAGAAAAGACATTTGTGGCTTCTTTCTTCCCCAGAGCTGAGCATTAAATGTGTATAAATGAGGGAGAAATTCCTGCCAGCATTTGCCCTGAAGGCTGAGGCGACGCGGCCCATTGGGCACTTGAACTCCCCAGTGCAATCGCTCCCACATACCCCTCCTCCGTGGAGGTGGCAGGCTGGCACGTGAAGCCCAAGCATCTGCTGACTAGCGGCCTCGCGGGGCATCAGCGCTGGCTCCCTGATGGCCCCTGGGGCAGGTCTGCAGACACAGAACGAGGGCAGGCATCGGACAGTCTGTGAGCTGGGGCAGGGTGGGTGGTCCAGGAGGCCCCCAACCACCTGCTCTGAGCCAGTGATGCCCAGCTGCTGCTTGCTCCTCCTCTTGTAACTCTGTCCCTCCCATTAGCTTCTTTAACGCATCAGGTTAACTCCCCGATTTGCATGTGACAAAAGACTCCACTTTGTGTAATTAATCGGTGCTTAACAAGACCTTGCTCACCACAGTGGCTTCCCCCGCATGGGAAAAGGTGAGGGGAGACTGAGAAATGCTGCTCACTGCTCATGTGCTCCAAGGATGAGTCTCGCTCTCGCTCGCGTGACCAGGACCAGGAGTGGTGCTGACGCCAGCCACCACCAGATGCTGACCACCCACCCCAGGCCAGGCCTGAGTTGGTTCCGAGGGCACCACACGGAATAGGGTGGTACCTGCTCTCGCAGACCCGCAGTCTGGTCTATTGGGGGCGGGCAAACGGGCAGATCAGGGATCTCTGCAGTGTTAAGAGGGGCTGAGCTGGAACAAAGTGCCGGGGGCGGGGGCGTCAACAAGGGAAGGCAAGCAGAGGTGACTTCCAGGAGGAGGCCGCCTTCCAGCAGGGAAGTGGGGAATGAGTAGGTTCAACAAGCCCAAATACTTTCATCTGATCTCAGTGTCACATCCGCTGCTTCTGCAGGTTCCTCATTTCTTTCTGTGTTTCTTATAAAACCTCTTCTTGTCTCTAGGCAATGGGGTTTTCTCTTATTAAATTAATTTTGTGTGTGGGAAGAGAAAGACACCTAATCTTGCCTTTTCAAGATACTTGAGAAAGTATTTATTTGACAGGATGGGTGTGGGAGGGGATAGAAACATGGTTTTATCAGGCAGATTTAATATGGGGGTCATGGAGAACCCCTCCTGACCTGCAGGCCCAGCAGGGACACTAAGAAGAGGGGTACACATAGAGGGCTGATGATTGCGCCAGATATCATCTCAGAGATGCCCAGAAAAGCCTGCTTTGAACTTGAGACCAGAGACAGGGAACCAGTGCAGGGGCTGACAGCTGACACTGTCCACTTCACCCGGAAGCTTCTCCTGAGAGGGGCACAGGCACCCACATGTCCGCAATAACCAGACAATCCCAGGACTGCCCCTGTGCAAGTAACAGCAGTTACCCTCAGCTAAGCATGCACATGTCAGGACCGTGCCAAGGGCTTCCTGAGGACTTTCACCAATCCTCCCACGGCCCTGCCAGGCAGAGGAGCATACTGCGTGGCAGAGAAGGCACGAGACCTGCCCAGGATCCCACTGCTGGCCGCTGTCTGAGCTGAGGGCTGGCGCCAGACACCCACTTCACCCTGTGCAACGAGGCCACACCACTCACCTCCGTTAACATCACGAGGCCCAGGAAATAGGAGACCACCGACAGAGCCAGGATGAGCAGCTCCCGCCGGTAGCCCCTCCGGAAGACCTTGGGGTACATGTCCACCACGGCGGTCACGAGGCTTTCCACGCACACAAACTGCACAGGGGAGAAGTGGTGGGGTGAACCCCAAGGCAAAGGCTGTCCCTGGCAGCCCTGGCTCCTGGGGAGCACGGCAGGCCCAACTCCAGGGCTTCCTTCCCATGGGACCATGCCTTTACCCGCACACTCATTCTCACAATGGAGGCCTGAGGGCCCCAGAGTAGCAGCAACAATCCCAGCACTAATGGCGGAGGAAGGTGCCAGCGTGCCCATTTAACTGACGAGGACACTGAGGCTCAGAGAGTGCAGGTGACCGGCCCAAGGTCACTCAGTAAGGAAGTGGTGGTCAGAACTCAAACCGGGGCCTCCAGACTCTGAACCCAGCACCTCTTCCTTCTCCCCATGCTGCCTGCCATGTGCCTGTGTGTTGGGCCCTTGAAGGGGGACCCAGCACACACTCTTGAGGCGAGACTGGGGTCTCTGTGAATGTGGGAGGAGCCCTGTGCCCTGCTGACGATAGGCCCTGGTCAGCCTCTATGGCCTCCGGGACTGCAATGGCTCCCTGCCCTTTGCTTCCGGTGGGCCAGTGCCCCTCTTGGGGTGGAGGGCAGTCAGAGGTGAGCCAACATCTAGCTGTGTGTCCTTGGGCCCTGGCCAAACCTGGGTGGCATCGGTGGCTGAGTCTGAGCCACCAAGCATCTGCACCCCAACTGCTGAGCACAGGACCAGCGCACGCATTGGTCCAACTTCTACCCACCCGTCAACACCCAGCTCGAACATTCTAACCCACCAAAGCACCCCGCCTCTGGTTCTCACGGGAATGGGGCCAGGTCTCCTGCATGAACGAACCTTTTCCTGCCCACTCCTCCCTGCCCCTCCCCCTCCTCCATGCCCTGAGCACACCCTCTCGCCCTGAGGGCCCTCACCTGCTTACATCTGTCTCCCTATAAGAAGATGAGATCCCAAGGGGCCACATCACTGTCACTGTCTATTTCCCATGTCTAGCACAGGGCCCTTGGCACACAGAGGCTCAGAAAATGTCTGATAAATGGATAATAACAATAACAGCAGTGCTAACAGCAAATGCACAAAGCTTTCCCTGTTCCGGGCTCTTTTCTAAGCAGTTCACTTGTGTTGACTTGAGCTCCACGCAGTAGGTACTATTATCCCCGTTGTGTAAACGGGCCCTTGGTAGCACAGGGGAGTAAGCAATTTGCTGCAGATCACACAGGGATTGGGTGGCAGAGGCTAGCCTCGAACCAGGCAGTTCTGCCCCAGAGGCTGGGCTTTAACCATTCCACAGCATTGCCTCAAGGGAGGGAGAGAGGAGGAGTAAAGGACTCTCTTACTGGCCACCGTGTTGGGAGGCTCCCCTTCCCTGGAGCCGATTCTTGGCCCGAATCCTTTCTGAGGCACTCCTAGCTCCTCCGGAAAGGTTTTTCATCCTCCTGGAGCACAGAGAGGCGAAGTGACTGGGACTCGGATCCAGCCCTGTGTGACTCCCAGGCTGCTGGCCTCCCTGCTGCCCTGCCTCCCCAAAACCCAGATCTGGTTTTGCCCAGCCATCCTCCAGGGTCCCAGGAAAGCTAGGGGAGAGGACTCGAGGGAGGCTGTTTGTTCAGGATGGAAACTTAGGAGACATGGGAACATGTGGGCCTCTTAAGGCAGACAGCTCTGGGGCATGCCCCAGTAAGTCACAGTCTCTCTGAGCCTCAGTTCCTTCCTCTGTAAACGAGGACAACAAAAGGAGTCTTCGACCCATGTGGCCATTGTGACAATGAACTGAGAATGTGGCCCAGGCACACCATGGGTGCAGCATGTGTGGGGGTAGACAGAACGGCACCTGCCCTCTGTGCCAGGGCTCGGGGCCCCCAGGCCCAAGTGCTGGCCCAGCTCAGTCCAGAGACTTGCAGAGCCAAGGCCCAGCCCCATCCTGTCACACAGAAGCTGCCAGTCCCTCCAGTCCCTCTGAGGCTCTGCCTGTGACAGCAACAATGAGAGGAAGATTATCAGCAGAAACAGCCGGTGATTCGGCAGCTCGGTTTAGCGGTTTCTGGGAAATCGTTTAGGGAAAGAAACTGGACTTGGCCGGGTTGACAGACACGCCAGCCAGGGACTTGGGTGCTCAGTGACTCGACTCGCACAAGGTCAAGGGTGGGGGACAGCACTTCACCAGGGCAGCTTGGGCACTGCCCCCACAGTCTGGGCAAGTCTCACCACCGCACCTGGCGGGGCTCGGGGGCCTGACGGCTGTACCTGTGCTGCCCTGTTAAGATGGGGTCTTGGACAACCCCTTCGGATCCCCTCCCGCTGTGGGAGCTTTTCTGTCCTCTTAATAAATCCTGCTTAAGAAAAAGGATGGGTCTTGCCTACGGAGCTTCCATCCTCCAAAGCGCTGATTAGCCAAGGGACTTCAGCCTCACGGCAGAGCCACTGGCTTTGGCTAGAGGAAGTTCTCGGGGTTCTTAGGGAACCCAGCCGTGGGGAGCAGCAGGGCAAGGGCAGGTTCCGGGGATCGGTGCGGGAGCGGGGCTGGGAGGGGAGGCCAGGGTATGCTCGGTGTGCGGGCGAGGTAAAGAATCCACAAGGGTGTGGCACATCCCTTGCTCCAATTCTACCTCCTTTACCAGGGAAGGAGGCTGCCAGGGAAGGGAGGCCAGCGGCAGGCCTGTCGGGAGGGCTGGGCTCAGAGGCGGGGAGCAGGGCTGGTGGAGGCCCCCGAGAGCCAGTCAAGAGCTGGAGAAAGGCGAGGGTGCTTTACTGTGCCCTTGACCCGAGACATCTGCCTGGGACAGGGACACCAGTGCTGTGGGGCCCTCTGCAAGCCACTCTCTTTGAGTCTTCCTTCTGTGTTGCAGGAGGTGCTGTCAGGCGAGAGCAGTTGAGCAGAATGGGGGTCCTGAGCACATTTTTCAAAACTGGAGTTGGGAGTGGGGAATTCCCGGCAAGGAACTGTGTTTTGGAAGGCGTGGAAGGCTCAAGTGGATGAGTCTAGGGGTGTGTGGAACCCACCTGTTGACTGGGTGGCTGCTGGGAGGAGAGTGGGGTGTGGAGCGGGTCAGCAGTCAGGGCTCTGATGCCAGGGCCAGGTGGTGGTGGCTAGGCCCGGGGAGTGGCTCCTTGAGCAGTGTCTGGGCTCCCTGCCTGGGTTCCCCCTTCCTCTGGCCCCTTACCTGGCTGTCCAGGCCCAGGAAGATGAGCATCATGAAGAACAAGGTGGCCCACAGCGGGGAGAGGGGCATCATGGTGACAGCCTTGGGGTATGCAATAAAGGCTAAGCCAGGACCTGGGGGGGGGGAGAGAGAGAGAGAGCCGCTGAGTGTTCCTCACTCCACGGTTATTGTCATCTGACACTTATTGAGTGCTGCCTTTGTTCCAGACACTTTGCCTGACTCTTACTCCAATCCTTTCAATCTCCCGGCCACTAGGAGAGCAGGTGGGTACTATTTTGATGCCTGTTTTTGCAGATGAGCAAGTTGAGGCATAGAGAGGTAAGCAAGGGTCTGGAAGGATCAGGATTCAAACCCAGGTTGGTCTGGCACATGGATCTTCCTCTGAACAGACCAGTCTCTACTGCTTTCATGGGAAGGGGTACAGTTTCTTCTTAAAATGCAGATTCTGGCCAGGCTCGGTGGCTCAGCCTATAATCCCAGCACTTTGGGAGGCCAAGGTGAGTGAATTGCCTAAGCCCATGGATTCGAGACCAGCCCGGGCAACTTGGCGAGACTTCGTCTCTACAATAAAATATAAAAAATAGCCGGGTGTGGCAGTGCACGTCTGTAGTTTCGGCTACTCGGAAGGCTGAGGCGGACGGATCACTGGAGCCCAGAAGGTAGATGCTGGGGTGGCCGTGAGTGTGCATGCCACTGCACCCCAGCCTGGGTGATAGAGGGAGACTCCAACTCAAAAAAAAAAAAAAAAATGCAGCTTCTTAGACCCACCCAGAGATTCTGATCCCATCTCTCTAGGGTGAGGCAAGGACCAGCCCCCGGTGGTTTCTGATGTCGGTAGTTAGGGGTCCAGGCTGGAGAAATGCTGTTCCATCCAGGATGCCTCTTCCTTGGGGCTCCTTTCTCTTTTCCCAGGTCCACACTCACTTATTTTGGCTTCCAGTGGAAGACGTGGTCAGCAAGTCCTCAGGATGAGCTGTATTAATGCCAGTGGAGGCATGCCTGATATTCTAGTACAGTAGTCAAGAGTGCAGGCTCTGCAATCAAATGGCCTGGGCTCAAAGCCTGGTTCTTTCATTATTTACTGCAATCTATGTCTCTGTTTCCTTAGCAGAAAAACAGGGACAAAGCCCTACCTAAAAAGGTGGTTTTGAGAATTCAGTGAGATAATACAAACCAAGGAAAGCACTTAAAAGGTAAATGCTTCATAAGTACCAGCTCTGATTGCTCTTTTTTTTTGTTTTAAAGAGCAGCTTTATTAAAGCCTATTCTGCATATAGTAAATACCCATTTTAAGTGCAGAGTTCAGTGAAGTTTGAAAAAGTGTGAAGACCCAGATCACCCCCGGGGCGATCAAAATCTAAAACATGGCCGTCTCCCCGGACTTCTCTGCCATCTCTAGTTCCACACCCCAGCTTTACCTTGGGCAACTATCAATGTGACTTTTGTTCACCTCAGATTAGTTTTGCCTGTTCTACCTAGAAGTGGAATTGCCTGGTCATATGGCAATCCCATGTTCAACTTTCTAAGAAATGCCAAACTAAGCTCCAAAGTAGCTGTGCCATTTAGAGTCCTACCAGCAACGTGTCAAATGCCCAGTGGCTGTACCTCTTTGCCAACATTTGATACTGCGAGTCGTTTAAATGGAGTCATGACAGCAGGTGCAAGATATTATGGTTTTCATTTGTATTTCCCTGGTGACCAATGACGTTGCATGTTTTTATTGTCTGTTCACACATCTTCTTTTGTGAAGTGACTGCCTGAATCTTTTGTTCATTTTTTTATTGGGCTATCTCCATGTTATTAGGCTGTGAGAGTTCTAATGTTTGGGATAGAAATTCTTTATCAGAGGAGTACTACAAATATTTCCTCCTCATCTATGGTTTACATTTTCATTTTCTTTTTTTTTGAGTTGGAGTCTGTCACCCAGACTGGAGTGCACTGGCACACTCCTGGCCACCGCAGCCTTGACCTGCTAGGCTCCAGAGATCCTTCCTCTTCAGCCTTTCAAGTAGCTGGAACTACAGGCGCATGCTACCACGTCCAGCTAATTTTTTATTTACTGTAGAGACGAGGTCTTGCCAAGTTGCCCGGGCGGGTCTTGAACCTGCGGGTTCAGGCAATCCACTTGCCTCGGCCTCCCAAAGTGCTGGGATTACAGACTGAGCCACCAAGCCCAGCCATACATTTTCATTTTCTTAATGGTGTCTTGTAAAGAGCAGTTTAAAATTTTCTGATTGTTGCTAGTATATAAAGCAATACAATAGATTTTGTTTCTTGTCCTTTACCCTAAGTTCTCTCATTACGTCTTTTTTGTAGGTTCCTTAGGATTTTCAGTCAATCATATCATTTATGAATAAAGATTTATCCTTCCTCTTAATTTTAATGTTTATTTATTTTTCTTGCCATATTACACTCTCTATGAATTCCAACACCACAGAAGCTGAGATAGCACATATCTTTATTTTGTTTCTGATTTTAGGGAAACATATTCAACATTTAATAACCAGGAAATTAACATTGGTATAATATCTACCAGTTTTTTCCTGTTGTCCTTTGTTCTGTTCTAATATTTAATTCAGAACTACATATTGCACTTAGTGGTTGTATATCTTTAGTCTTTTCCATCTGTGACAGGACTTTAGTCTTTTTTTGTCTTTCATAAACTTGATATTTTTTATAAATACTAGTCATTTTTATGGCAGAATAGAGGTTTTCTTTTTTAAAAAATTTCAATAGCTTTAGAGGTTACAAATAGTTTTTGTTTGCGTAGTTGCATTGTTAAACTGGGTTTGTCTGATGGTTTCTCATTATTTGACTGTTATGCAATTTTCAGCAAGAAAACCACAGAAGTGATATTGTGTCCTTCTCAGTGAATGAGGGGTCAATCAATCTTATTACTGGTGACGTTTACCTTGATCATTAAGGTTAAGGTTAGGCTGGTGTCTCTCAGATTTCTCCACTGTAAAGTTACTCTTTTTCTCATAGTTGTTAAATATCTTGAAGGGGGGAGCAATTTGAAATTATGAAAATATCCTATTTTTACTCAAACTTTTACCCACTGATATTAGCACCCATTGTTGGACTTTGCCTATAACCATTATCACAATGATGTTTGCCTAATGGTGATTTGGTTTTTTCCTCATTCCTTCTACATTTATGTATTAGAATTATTCTGTAAGGAACAACTGTTACTCTACCCCATTTATTTATTTGTTCAGCTATTTATTTATATCAGTAAAACATGGACTTCTGGGCATTTATTTCATTCTATGAGTCATAATCCAATATTATCATTATTTATTTTGTGACTTCAATTGTTTCAGCCTTGGTCATTGGGAGTTCTTTGATTTCTGGGTTTTTTTTTGGGTGGGGGGGACATGCTTTCATCCTTTTCCTAAGCATATCCTTATTTTTTGACAATGGCAAAAACGTTCTGGCTTCATCTTGTTCTGCCCCAGTCTTGGAATCAACTACTTCTCCAAGAAGCCCTGATTTCTTTTGTTGGAGAATGGTGTTTAGAAACCAAGATCTAGGCCCTAGTGTGCTCATAACTATGAATTATTACTGTTTGTGGGTCCTTTCAACACACAAAACTTGGAAATGCATGTATATTTACCCATGCATATATTTCTATATCTATCTATATATGTATGAAAACCATGAGTTTTAATATACTTATACTTCCAATTCCAACAGAGTTCATTCTAACATCTCTACTTTTCTTATTCATAACTTCTTTCTCAGAAAGTGAAAAATCTAATTATCTATATTTACCTCTTTGTTCAATCCTTATATGCATACACAATAGTTGCAGGAATGTTAATTCATACCCCATCACAGTTATTTTTGTCTTTACCCTACAGTATCCAGTCAAAATACTGTTTCTCAAAGTTACATAGGCTAGTTTTCTCTCCCATTTCTTTCAGTGTGGTCATATTATTTATTTGTAATACAGTTAAGTTCATTTGCTACTGTCTCTCTTCCATGTGGGTTCTATCAGAAAAAGTAATTGTTTATTTGAGTATTATGTGAAACATTACCAAGAGTCAGAGCTAATAAAAACAAACACTCAGAGAAGTGCTACGCCCTTCTCATCCTTACTGCTCCATTCCTGTTCCTCCTTTCTTTCCACACCTTTTCTACCCACTGTATTCCAGTTTGGGTGACAGAGTGAGAAATCAACACAAAAATAAAATAAAATAAAGTAAAAGTTTAATTTATGGATAGATCTGCTTTCTGTTCCCTACCTCATTAATTTCAGTTTCATCTTATCTTTCTCATCTTTTCCTTTGCGTTTTCCTTTGGTTCACTTTATTATTTTCCTTACCTTTTTTGAGCAAGGACTTTATTTTCACTTTAATTTTTATTGATAAATGTGTTTAGTATAGTGAGTTTTCTCTGTTAGTTTATTTCTATCTATGTCTCCTTGCATCTCCTACAGTTTTTGCTTCATAAAGACTACTGCTGTGTTACCTGGTGCACATATTTTCGTGAGTGCTGTGAATTGTGGCTTCATTGTGAATTGTGGCTTTTAATATTAAAAAGTGCTCTTCTCTGCCATGTTTAACACTTCTGGGCTTGAATTCTGCTTTGTCTGATACCAGCATTCTGTCACTATCTATCCCTTTATTTTAACCTTTGTGACTCACTTTGTTTTAGGTGCACCTTTTATTTGCAGCATATACTTGGGTCTTGTGAAAATAATTTTCTTTTAGTAGGTATGTTATGCCCCTTCACATTTATTAATATGATAGATAAGTGTGGTTCTAACTGTCAAATATTTCCTACTTACGTGTATTTTTATATTTGTCATGTTTCTCTATGCAATATGTATTTTTTGTTATTTTATTTGCCTTTTTTTTGCATTTAGGAAGGTTTGTATTTGTGTTCTAGTGGTTATCTTTATACTTACACGTTTTTTAATGCCCTTGTTTCCTTATTTGCACCTTTTCTGTCTTGCTTTCCCAGGTATTCTTTTCCAGTATCTTTTAACACAACCTATTGCCTATGTGATGCTGAGTTTTTTGTAAGTTTCTCTTGTTTCCCCCCCTTTCCAATTTTTAGTCAAGTTATTTCTTTTTTTTGAGCTGGAGTCTCACTCTGTCGCCCAGAC